GAATAATGCATGCCGGCGGCATACACGATAATTGCCGCGCTTCATTAAAACCAGATCGCTCATTGTCGAGGCAGGAGCGAGCTCGCGCGAGCCCGTATACTTAACCAGGACCTGCCAGGATCGGTATCGTTTCCGAGAAATCCCCTGCGATCGGACGCGTTCGACGCGATCCTTTCGACGTCTTTCCGATAAAGAATAAACCCGGTCCCCTTGTCGCTCGGCCTGATCGCAAAAGAGCAAGAGAACCAAACAGCGCTCGGGCTTGATCGGTGGCCGGCTCTTTCGGCCCTTATCAGGCGAACGCGGGATCATTTCGGCGCGGTTCTGACCGTGTTATTCGTCCTCGCGTTTAATCATGCGAAAATCGACCCGCGTTTCTTTGCCACTGTCGCCGGAGTTTCAACCCTTAACCGTCGAGCCCGTGAGTGTTATGGGCTGCCTCGACACACGAGGCTCAGCCAAATACGTGAATATAATTATTTAGCGACACGACGAACGAGAACAATCGGCGTACTATTTGCAGCTCCCATTAGAGAATACGTGTCCTCGATGCTTCTTCGCTTACGTTTTACCTTGTATCGCGTGGTAAACGAATTAAGTTGAAACGATCTCGTGATTCGACGGTTGAAAGGTCAAAACCGAGGGAAACGATGTAGAGCATGTCGTTAACCGATCATATTTTACTTCGTATTGTATACTAAAGGAATCAAGTATATGACCTCGGCGCAGTTCGACGGTCAAAGGTCAAAACCATCGAGGGAAACGATGTAGAACATTTCGTTAACCTATCAACTTCGTACTGTATACCAAAAGAATGAAGTATAAACGACCTCGGCGCAGTTCGACAGTGAAGAGGTCAGAACCGTCTCGTCCGAGGGGAACGTCGGAGAAGGTTTCTTTAGCCGCGCGACCGCGAAGCGTCCGTGGAAACGTGGACGCGTAGAACGCGCGGCGCGGACGAGAGGCGAACGGAAACGAGCAACAAGAGTGTAGGTAAACCCCGAAGGAAGACGACTTAGGAGTAGCGTGTGTGGCAACGTACGTGGAAGGTGGGCAGCGTAAGGCTCTGGCTATGGCGCGGCGATGCCCAGGCACGTACCTAGCAACGTACGTAGCTACGTAATGGGTAGTAGCCAGTAGGTGGCAAGGCTGCGTGACGAGGCGATTGCGGACCGTGACTAAAATATTTAAAAATATGTATCTTTCTGGCCGGACTGCCGTCCAGTTCCAGTTCCAGTCCCGGACTCTAACCGGAGACCGCCGCATGCCGCGCTGCCTCACCCTCGCCCCTTGCCACGCTGTATTTATTTCGCGTTTCCTTCCTGCCCGCGAGCCGGCCTTCGCCGAGGGCTGCTGCCCCTGCGCGTTTTCGTCCCGTTTCCTCCCGCCGCGGCTGTGTACCGTTCCTCTCGCGGCTTTCTTAGCGAAACAACGGAACGGTGCCTCGATAATCTCCGATCGTCGGGGTGCCCATTGTTGGCCAGCGAATACAACCTGTGTTAACAGCTTTGAGACTGTTGGACTTGCGATACCAGTGGATGTTAGAAACTAAAGCAACCTTTTCTTTATGTAAATAGTCGATCGAATTGGGTACTAGAACTCTTGGATATTTAACCCTTTGAACTCTGTAGGCTACAATATTGCGCGAGGAATAATATCAGATATTTCAATGAATCTTCAAGAAACTACCCTACAATTATCCAAATTATCCAAATTTTGCACTAAGGAAAATAAAAGATCTAAAAAATGTTATGGCATTTTTCATTTTCACTAGCGATACTATAAAAATTAGTTGCAGATAGATTACAAAACCATCCGGAGTGCTGAGGGTTAATACTTCGACTAAGGTAAATTGTAGGTTTCCAGTCCTAGAAGCTAATTTTATTCAGACCTAGTATATTATTCTTAATGTTCCTACGGGATAACTCCTAGTTGGCGTCCTAGGCAATAGGTTATCTCGTAATTGTTAGTGAACGTGTCAACAGCGATCGTAGTAGCTCAAGCTTCATATCGACTGCTCGAGACTTAAAGCTCTTCGATCTATTTCCAAATTCCCCGATAGCTACCAAGGAAATCTACGCGACATTCTTCGGCAAAGCGTCGCCTGTGTCAGTCGATTAGGCAACGCGTCGTTCCCCCGCTAGATACGTTAGATCGAGCGGCCGAGGCTCGGCTCGGCGGCAGGTGAGTTGCAACAACTGCAGGCCCGACTGCAACTGCGTTCGCCGGGGCCCCGGGATCGAGTGGCCGTGCGAAATGCCGGCAAACGGTCGTGGCCGGGTCTGCGCGATGCATATTCATGATTCTTTTTTTAACTGATCGGCCATCACGGGAAAAAGGAAGTGAGTTCTGCTGGGCGCAACGCGTCGCCGCGCGTTAAGGACAACCCGCAGGGCACCGCGACGCGACAGGGCGCATACTAATCGGCCCGGCTGCTTTTTTCGGGACTTCCGATCCGCGGCGGTCTTCTTTCACACGAGTCTCGCCGGCCACCTCGGCCTGGAAACCCAGGCGACCCGCGGTTTTCGATAAACTAATCGTCGTTACTGCGAACGCTATCGACTCGCCGATAAAACCGAGACGCCGATCCCTTTAAAACCATTTCCCACGTCCCGCTGGAAACGAACGCTCGACGCGCAGGTGCCCGTGCGCGCAGGTGAGCTCTAGCTAACTAGACGTTCCGTTCTGTTCCAGGTTCCCTAACGGAGAAAGATGGAAACGAGGGAACATCGACGAAACCGGGACGAACGAAGAATCACCGAGGACTCGGTGAGTGTAACAGAACACCGTTGATCGAGAGATCGGATCTCTCCCGTCTAATCCCCTAGATCGTTCCGCGGAACAGTTTCGACGGATCGTTCCCGCGAAACCGGAGAAAGGACGGAGGGCGGAGTAAATGTCTGGGCGGGTGTACGGCTAATGGGGCATTAAATAAAAATATTCATTGGCAAGCGGCTCGGCCGGGGTCGGCCAGTCGCGCGGCTTACAGTTTTATGGGGCTTAATTGTAAGCGGAACGCGGCGCGTTACCGCGTCGCTCGCCCGGGCCGGCGCATTAATTTAATTCGCGTCGTATCGCGGCCCCCGCTCGCCCGAGAAAAATCCACCCCTGCCGTTGAAAAATGAACCGCGGCCACGAGTGGCCCCGTGAAATATTCACCGCCCCGTTAACTTTTCATTTCCCTCGTTTAGCCGCGATTTCCTTCGACCGCTCGTCGTCCCTCCCGATTCCACTCCGCGGCGAGGGTCGATCCGCGCTCCTCGGAACTCGAAACGCCGGGGATTTCGGAATCGTCGCCGCGTAGGATCGCGGAAGGAAGCGGGGGGAACGGAAGTCTCGGGGAACGACGGCAGTTAGCGCCGAAATAAAATAAGGACGGAACGAAGCGAAAGGCAGGAAAAATAAGTCGGCCCTTATCTCGTCCTCGTCCCGTGCCGTTTGGCCTATGCATATTCAAAAGCCGCGCGCACCGCGGCCGTCTTCGTCCCTCGGCCGTCCGCCTCCTCGTCGCGCCAACGAGCCTTCCCCTTCGCCCCGCCGCCGGCGTAAACTCGACGAGGCATCCCCCCGGTTCTCGTGGTCGGTACCGGCACTATACTTACCTACGTCCGCCACCCGCTAATTTCTAGGCTTCCTTCTTTAATTGCACCGGCACGATAATAACACCGTGCACGCCGCTGTGTGTATATCGGGCTCCTCTCCGCGCGCGCGGACGGTGCGAGCTCTAAGTAGGTGTACATCGGAGAGACCGTGGAACGAGGTAACACCCACTCCGGCACCCTCGCTCGCCACCGTGATAATCTTCATTGTCGCGCGATAGACGCGGGGACCTTCGCTGTCGTTACGAGCTGCCCCGTTTTTAGGCCAGAAAACGCGCGTTTCTGCCGTGCAATTGGGACGAGGTGAATTTGCTGTTTCGGAGGAATTAGTTGAGAGTCGCGAGCCGTTTACTGTGATGGATGTTGTATTGTATTCACTCTTCGAGGGTCACGGTTTAAAAAAAGACGACACTAGCCGCGTAGAATTCGCTTTGTCACACAATTCGCTAATCTTAGCACTAGGTTTACGGAACGCGTCAATTTGACGCGGATTGAATTTTATAAATATTATTTGGTAAATGTTTCAATCGGTCTTCGTTGATGCAATTACACGAATATGAATCCTGATTGTCTTTTTCTACATCTACAATTTCCAAAATCTAAATGAACGAATATCAACTTCCCTAGGAACAATAGAATAAACTGTACAATAAATGCCCGTCAACCTAGTGTTAATTATTATTACGTAGTTCGTAGCATTACCAACTGAATGAGAAACTTTGAATGAAATATTGAACTCTGCTATGAGTAACTTCAACTTTCCAAGGTTGGTTCGAATATACACCATGCATAAAGTCTAAGCAAAAGATGGGACAGTTTTTAACCACCTAACCCCAGAGTGAAGATTAATTTATTGCATGGGAAATATTATAGACATTCTTACGAATATTATTCTAAATGAAACCTTGGAACGCCCGGCAGATCGTAACGATGCAAGGTTCTTCTGGCCGAAGAGAGCGAAAGAATTCCGTTGCATTCGGCGCGGAGGATGACAGTGAGAAATAAGGGACAATAAGGCGTCGCAGTCGGCTCGCAGCGGAACGGAAGATTATTCGTTCGGCGGTTCGAAGCGAGAACAGGCTTTCAAGCCGAAGTCGAAACGAAGGCGCGTTACGTAAAGTCGGACGCGCGAAGTTCGCCGATGCCTTGACCCGATCGGTCGAACCGGCGAGAACGAGGCACGCTCGGCGACGATTTAACATGCGAGCCGCGTGTATTTTAGTGGAATAAGGTCAGAACCGGCCGATGGCTCCTGCGTGTTCGAAGAGGTCGCGCGTATGGTATCGGCGCGCGGTTGCCGAACGGAACGAAACGGAACGGAACGAGGCTCTCGGCCCGACACAATGGCGCGGCCGATGCGTTCGCTCGGAATGGAACGAAACGGGACGAGCTCGCATTGTCCCGGCCGGCACCGCCGTCCGCGCTCCTCCTCGTCTTATCGCATTCTTATGACGCGCGTGACACCCGCTAAGCTGTGCCTACTTCGAGACGACAGCGCGGCCTTAACTCCGTCTGCCCCCGCGGGGATACGGGTCCATTATGGCCGTGGAAAACGGGTCATCGATCCATGATATTTACCGCCGACGCACCAGACTACCTGCGCGATTGCGGGACACGCCGCTTTGCCGAAGAAAACCTCGGATCGTTCTAGTTCTGGTCTTAGCTCGATGCTTAACCCTTTGCGCTCGAGAGGTGACTATCAGTCGCCGCTTGATTCGACGCAATAAAGCTATAGAATGTGATGTTAAACTTTGTATAATGCCTCGATACGTGAAACATTGGAATAAAACAGCTTTGTTCCTCGATGTACTGGAAAAAGTCTCAAAGAACATGGTCTTCGTCTTCGTAAAGGAATGTTTAATATTTCTAGTAAGAAACATCCGAGTGCAAAGGGTTAATCCTCTGTGGACTAAGATTCTTCGAGATATACGAAACCTTCAACGTATGAAGCTAGATTATAACAATTGCTTTATCAACCCCTAGCACAGGTTGTTTTGTAATCTATCAGCAACTAATTTTTATAGTATTCCTAGCGAAAACGGGAACTGCCAGTTTCTTCGATCTTTTATTTTCCTTCTCAGTGCAAAATTCGGATGTATGGAGAATCTAATAATTTTAGGGTAGGTTCTTTAAGATTCATTAAAATATTTAACTACAGACTTCAAAGGGTTGATAGAAAACTACGTGATCTCTTGCTGTTCGACTAAGATCATTTGTCAATTTAGGAATGCCGACATCCGCAAACGGTTGAGAGGTCTGAGAGGCCATACTTAGTCGATGATTTTCAGGAGTACGTTGAACAGAAAAGTTATCCCAATATTTCGCAACTGGATTCATCAAAGGTTGAAGTCGCGACGATACGTTACAGTATCGGCGGCGCGAACGAAGAATAAAAGCTGGACGTAACTGAATCGTTCTAATTAGAAACGGTCGTCGAACCTCCGACAACATCCTCTTATCGAAGGTGTTTGAACCCGGGACTGAAAAAAAGAGCATCCCCGCTTCGGCGATGGATCCTTTTATAGGCTCCCTAGATCCTTACCATCGCATACCCGATCGACTTTCTTTTGTTAGTGCTGTTAACCTGTTCATAAACGGAGCATAAACCTCCGCGTCGCTGGGCAACAGGAGATACAAGAGAGAATACCGATCGGTTTTAAGACTGTCCCGTTGCTAATAGGTTCCCGCCGAAGTGTTACGATCCACGAGCATCGGTCGTTCGCCGGTCGACTACCAGTTTTACCCGTCGAAGTGGAAGCGCGGTCCCGTTAGGCGCCAGCATCGTTGCCAAGCGAAATTGACTAGGGTCAAAGTGCCAGGATGAGCTGGGATCGGCACCTTCTTCCCGGTGTCTCGGTTGTCCCGGGAGATCCCCGTCCGTCCGTCCGGGAAAACCTCTTCCCCGAGATCCTACCGTCGCGGAAAATCGAGATACAGCCGTCTAAACCGCAGACCTGTCTCGCGTTAATCGGTCGAACGGATAAAAGTCCGCGCACGGGACGCACCTGAAGCGCATCTTCGACGAAGAGGAAAAAAATAGTACGCGCGACGCGGTGACCGATCCCGTTAGGCGCCGGCTTCTTCTGGGAAAACGGTAAACGCGTGTCCCGAAGCCGGGATCGAAAAGTTGCCTCTCGATATCGAAGCGATTAGCGAGCGTAGTCACCGACGGCGACGGCGGCGGCGTCGGCGGCGGGCGAGATATCGAGGAAAGATGGGCGCGGCGCGCGGCATTCCTCCTCGAAGAGCTCCGATGGCATTGTTCCATCGCGTCGCACCTCGATCACGCCTCTGTCACGTGGCCCACAATTCACGGGACGTGACTCCTCGGCCCCTCTTCGGCCGTCTACGAAACGACCGTCACACTTACACCGCGGCTCGGTTCGCCCGGCTATTATTTTCTCTTCTCTCCTCCGTTTCTGTCCCTCCTTTTTTCCCTCGTCCCGACACCGTAGCGTCGCGTTGCGAAACGTCTCCTCCTGGTAGACGCGTGCGAATCGTCGCCTCGATTTCTTCATAGAACTCGTTACCCTCGGCTCGCCGTGGGACGGTTCATCGGATGTAAGCTACGCGAGCGGTGATTTATCCTTGAACCTCGCAGGCGGCGCGTACACGATTATCGTTCGATTGTTCTCTTTGTAATTACAGAAGTCGTACGTCGTCGGTTCGCGAGGTCCGTCCGTACGGCCGGCCGTTCGCTCGCTCACCTGCCGCTCATTAGAAGCCTTATCGCTAATTAATCCCTACAGGAACGGCGTCACGGCTCTCGTGTCGTTCGTTGCCTCGCTATTCCCCGCCTCCTCCCTTCGGCTCGCCACCGTTTGCTGCCTATTATGGTTATACTTCCTGAACTCGTCACCCTACCTCGGCCCCGTCCTGGCATGGCGAAGCGTACAGGCCGCGCGCGGCGCGAGCGGTGCGTGCAGGAATCGCGCCCGTTGCCGAGAGTGGTCGCGTGTTTCTCCTTCCGAAACGAGGGGATAAGGCAACCGGCGCGACGCGGCGGCCACCCTTCGGAGAAAACGAACAGTCATCCTCCGTCTCGCGATAAATCTTTTCGCGTTCATCTATGGCAACGTTTCCCCTAACCAACGGCCCGCTCGCCCGCCCGCTCGCCCGCCTCGCCGGCACGGATTTAATGAACATCGAGTGGAATAGCGCGTGGTGCTT